AAGTGTTATAGACAGTGTTGTTGTTAATGTATGTTTGGGGGCGTTGAACCCCGGAACCTTCAGAGGTTTTTCAGGGTTCTCCCTGCCGGAATGTTATGTGTGGGACCGTTTTCCTGTATGTGTGCGACTAGCTGTGGTTGTTTCTAAAAGTGGTTAGTAAACGTCCTGAAACTGGCACTTGAGTTTCCGAGCATTTTTATCCTGAGGTTATAACAATAACAAAATCAAAGAACCAAAAACACAAAACACTGGGTCAACGACCCAGGGACCCTAACACCATGATTTTAAGTTGTTTTAAGTTGTAAATCAGTCAGATTTGACCCAAACACGACAGGAAGGTTAAAGCTTCTGTTAAAATGTTCAGCAATGCTTGATTTAATCTTGCTTGATGTTGAGAAATGTGTGATATATCATGCCATTAACCATTGAAAATGTTTATTAAAAAACTCCTTACCTTCACCTGTCCCTCCCTCAGAATATCCTCAAGCGCTGATGCAATAGCTGATCCTGTCTGTTTTCGGAGGGAGAAACATTTCGTCACTCATTCAAGTGACTTCTTGGAAAAGTCACTATAACAAGTATGATTCAATGCAGAGAGGTCTATTAACACATAGTGAGTGAAAAAGGTGACTGAAAAGCAATGCATCATGGGAGTCCCCCAGCAGCCTGCCCCTATTGCAGCATTACTAAGGAAGGATTCAGGGTCACCTGATCCATCCCTAGCTTTATGATTTAGCAAAAAGGAAAGTTTTAAGCCCAATCTTTAAAGTAGAGACAGTGTCTGTGTCCCGAGTCCAAACTGGAAGCTCGTTCCACAGAAGAGTGGCCTAGAAATATTCAGACCTCAGTCAGGCGCAAGAAATGTTTCTCCTTTATAAAGTTTTATTACACAAAATTAAACGGTTATAATTTTAGCACCATGGAGAGTGCACATAAATTTCACTGTATTTACTGTGCTCTAATGCAAGACTGTTTTTAGTGGTGGACACAAATTCAACTGCATGCACTTTCACACTGCATGAGATAAAGATTACAGACAGACACATGTACACACGCGATTTTTCTTGATTTAGTAAATCTGGGTCTTAATGGTGTAACCACTTATTTCAGTTGAGACCTGCTGAATAAAACTTTCATTTTGCAAACTATTGTGCTTGGCTTCTTCTGGTTGTAATATTCTTACCTCAACTGTTAGCCTCATTCAACATTAACTCTAAATGCACCTCAGAGTTCTGCATAAATGACTTAATACCAAAGAAGACCTTCCACCTGACCTCCACTTTTCTAGAGATGCAGTCCACTTGTTCAGAACATGGCATCATTTGTATTAAACCATTATGTACTAATTTGAAAATAAATGTTTGTTAGATTGTTAAATGTTTGTTTAAACAAAACAATCAGTATGTGATTGCATTTATTGAAACCTAGTTGAAAGGCTTTGTTACATTCCCCAAACCTTGTTCATGAAGCTCAGCAACTTAAGAAGTTCACCTTCTTTGGTGGGAAAATGGGTTTGACTGTGCATGTTTATTATGTCCTCAATCCCTTAATAACTCATATACAGTTCGTCTGGTCAGTTAATGTGTTAGAGTCCAACTTAAACACTGTGCAGTTTCCAGTTATTCGCTACATATGACCATGTCTACATGCCATAGTGTTTTTATTATCATTTATTTTCAAAAACCGAACAGACAGAATAGGGCAGGACAGGTTGGTTTCAACCTGAAGTTCACTGAACATGTAATTCTGGAAATTGAGGACAAAAATGTGTGGATGACAGTAACGGCAATAATAGTCTTTACACTGAAACATGTTTGACAGGTTGCACTGGTTTATTCAGAAGTTAAAGTTCAGTTTACGAACTTTGCATAGTTCAGCCGCTTCTTTTCTTCCTCTGCTCATCACTCAGTTATACAGGCATAATAAATGATATGAGTAATCAAAGTGATCAAGGTTCAGCCTTTTTTATATTGGTTTGCATATCGTTCTCAGCTGCTAATGTTTTCTTTAGTGTCTAAAACCTTTAATTTGATTATCTTTAAAAATCAATCTGACATTTGCTCGTCATCACTACAGGTACACATAAAATAAAGTGATATAGTTTGTTGTCTTTTGTATTCTTTTTTTTTTTTAATAGATGAAGAATAGAAATTAAGACAAAAACTTCTTCTCTTTAACCTTTGTCACACATTCTTAATGAGATTTTCCAAGCTAAGGTGACAAGTTAGTTTAAATTACAAACAGGACCTGTGGATTCAAAAATATGTGATTACTGCCTGGGGCGATCGTGGCTCAAGAGTTGGGTGTTCGTCTTGCAATTGGAAGGTTGCCGGTTCGAGCCCCGGCTCGGACAGTCTCGGTCGTTGTGTCCTTGGGAAAGACACTTCACCTACCGCCTACTGGTGTTGGCCAGAGGGGCCGATGGCGCAATATGGCAGCCTCGCCTCTGTCAGCCTGCCCCAGGGCAGCTGTGGCTACAACTGCAGCTTGCCTTCACCAGTGTATGAATGTGAGAGTGAATGAATAGTGGAATTGTAAAGCGCTTTTCGGTGTCCCAAAAAGCGCTATATAAATGCAATCCATTATTACTAAAAAATTTTCCATGAAATATTAACTTCATTTGCTTCATCAGAATCTATAGTCTGTAATGTTTTATGGATTTTAAATCAAATAAAATGTTGGAAGAGTAGTATTCTGTCCAACTAAAAAAATGTAAACTCTGATCCAAATTAGACTGTGACTGAGCAGTCATAGCTTAACAGAATGTACAGCAGTGGGTTCAAGTACATTTAATTCTCAGCACCTTGCAGAGAAATACACCCTAAAGACTTCTTATGGAAGGAAGCATTAGCTGTTTCAAAACCCTGATTCTGCATTGTGGCTGAATTTTTGAGAATTAAATAATGACTTGGTGTAATATGTCACGCTTTGTAGTTTATGCAAAGGTTTAATTTACCTAATTTTAAGCCCTTTTTAAAACCTTAGAATTTAAAGTAAAATGATTTTGTGTTGTTCAAAGTTTACATGAAAATCCCAGGCAGTTAATTGCAGTGGCCCATGATCACTTGGTCACTTTTCAATCCACTGGCATGAGTGATGCTGGTGTTGCTCTTGTCAGAAATGATCACAGTCTGTAGAAACAATCTGACAAGCAATACAAGGGGACATCACAAGAGGGCGCCAGAGGTGGCTCAACAGACATAACCAGTATTCAGTATTTTTGGAGGAGTGAAAAAAATGTGAATGTGTGACACTCAAGAGATCAAGAGAAGTGTATGAAAGAGAGGAGAGGAGAGATTGTGGTACGGCTTGCTTGATAAACTGGAAATTATATGTTTTCTCCGTATGCACTAGTTCAATATAACTGATATTAGACGCATTGTGTGACTGGTGATCAATTAATCAAGATTCGAGAGGTTAAATTTTTTTCTAAGACATGATGTAACATCCATCCATCCATTCGCTTCCGCTTATCCTTTTCAGGGTCGCGGGGGGCGCTGGAGCCTATCCCAGCTGTCATAGGGCGAGAGGTGGGGTACACCCTGGACAGGTCACCAGTCTGTCGCAGGGCTAACACATAGAGACACAGACAACCAGTCGCACTCACATTCACACCTATGGGCAATTTGGATTAATCAATTAACCTATCCCCACAAACTGCATGTGAGAGGAAGCCGGAGTACCCGGAGGGAACCCACGCAAACACGGAGAACATGGAAACTCCACACAGAAAGACCCCTGCCTGATGGTGGAATTGAACTCAGGACCTTCCTGCTGTGCAGCAGCAGTGCTAACTACCGTGCCGCCGTGCTGCCCCATGATGTAACATGAGAAGGAAAAATTAAATAAGTCCACAGTGACACAGCACTACAACAACCTAAACAACTGACAACTAAATCACAAAAAAAATGTGTATAATGGAATTCAAAATTTAGAAATAATGAACAAAAAGCTACCAGTGATATGAATAAGATAAGAGCCCATGGGACAGATATATGTAGATGTAGACATTCGAGGTTACTGCACATAGTGAGTCCCTGGTGTTTGTGTATTTGTATGAGAAAGGTCTTTAGTGTGTGGCAGAGTTTGCTTCTGGGAAGACACTTAGACTTGTTGTCAGGAGTTGTGGGGGGTGTTAAAATCTCCCAATTCTTTTAATCTTTGGGCTGAAGGAAGGACAATACTCGGTGTATAAATGCTCAATCAACAATCATTTATTTCCATACAATGAGCATAAACCATCCGGATGGGGAGACATGCATGCAGAGGGTCACAGCAAATCTCAAAATGGTGACGGGTTACTCATCTTCTTATAAAGATGAGGAAAAGACATTTTCACTGTAAAATTCTAATTTTAGAGTAGTGATATTAAGAGAGTGTTTGTAAGCAGACCAACAGGAGAAATATACCACTGCCTTTCAAGATGTTGGTCACAATATATTTAAGTCTAGGACTGTTTTGTCACTTAGCCCAGAAACACCTGCAAAAACTACTTCGGACCAAAGAAGACCAAGGAATGCTGACTGTCATGAAGGTTCCTCCACCTAATCACTTCAGTGAACAACTGTGAGAGGTGTAAAAAGCCAGACGTTCTGTGAAATCTTAACATTTTCAAATCCTGCAACAAACTGCTGAGAAGCTGATCATGCCCTCGTGATGATTCATGACACTTAAGTTCCTCATTCTTGCTGAGGCTGCATAAAACACTTCCTTAAATAAGCGGCGTCGTGCGATCATCCTCTTGATGTATAGCTCCACCTTTTTCTATTTCAGTGCCTGGCATTCCTTATCTTCCTTCAAGACCTGCCCCCCCCACCTCTGCTGACTGACTTGTATGAAGCAATCATAACAGGTAGTCAGGTAGGTAACATGAAGAAGCCCTGAAGGAGGCTGTGGTCATCATTAGACCGGTTTCTGTGGCCATTGGTGCTTCTCATGAGTCCTTCCAATTCTACCAATCAGGTACAATCATTAAAACACTTTTGAAAGTATCTTCAAATACAACAAGAACTTTTTTTTCTTGTTATTTTAAACCCATCAGTCACCATCACTCACCCCTAACTAACATGTATTTTAAGGCATGTACGATGAACCTGTGTGCAGCAGCACCGATTTGGACCGTGGTGTGCTCGCTGTGGGTTACGGTTCTTACAAAGGGACTTGACTCCTGGCTGATCAAGAACAGGTAAATACCGACATGTTTTAATTCATGCACTTCATTCCTGCTAACATTTGCCAAGTGCTGATACACAGCTACAAAATGCATCTTTTGTTAATCAGACTGCTATGTCTTCACATGAGGTTAAACTATTAATGTGAACATTGTCATTGTCTGAGTTTTAGCTGCTGAATGCTGTTCATTTGTTTCTTTCTGGGGCAGTGGGGTCTTGAATGGGGAGAGATGGGCTACATTAGGATGAGCAGGAACAATTTCAATTGCTATTTTTGCAAGTTACCCTTTGATCTGAACAGATGGAAATAAGGGGCAGGGGGCATATAATTTACTTAAAAATCAAATGATCTTTTTAAAGTTTTATTTCTGGTTCGGTTTCTGGTGTGTTGTTTGTGTTTAATGGACTAACCTTATAATGACTGCAAACACATGTAAATAAATAAATGTTTGACACTAAGATGTAAACATTGACTTTTGTGTGTTTTACTTTGTTGGTGGTGCGTGGCTTAATAACCATGCAGTGGAATTTAGATTTAGAATCTGTTGTCTGTTGGTCAATCCAAAGATTTTTACAAATCAGATTAGCTGATTAGCCCCAAGCGTAGTGTAGAGTCTGCATGGATTACATTTTAGTTTCATTGAAGAGCAAATTTGGTGGACTCTGTGTCTATCACTCTCTATTTTTTTTAAATGACTAAAGATGCAAAAGCATGCCTGTTAAAAAAAAGCTGTAAAAGCTGTTAATAATAACAAACACTCCAATCTGTGGTTAAAGTAGAAATGCGGAGTACAAGTCATGCGCAAAGCAAACATCGTGACATTATTTTGGGTTGGGTTCATAAGCTAGTTTCAGTCAACATAAATAATTCTAAATAAACCATTTATGTTGTCCAAAAGTCTGATGTTTCAGAAGCAGTCTCAAATACTTCCTGCTTCTATGGCCTTTGGTTTGCAAACATCAGATGAAAGATATAAACTGAAAACTTTTGTAGATGAATGTCTCCTCTCTGGATTCTCCTGTCTGAATTTAGCGTTTTGTGCTTTTACCCTTCAGTTACAAATGCAAAACGCTTAGCCGTGTCTCTAATAAAACCGCTGTAACTTCAGAGGTAATGTTCATATGTTAATTAATGGTTTTCTTTCATTTTTGATGTACTGCAGAATATTTTTATAAAATCCCAGGCCAGGAAAATCATCTTCATGTTTTTCTGTGTTTCATCCTCTGCTACTTTGACACAAAGGCATCTGCTGTGATGCTCACACCTTTGATAAAGTCTTGCGAGTGTCAGCTTCCTTTTTATAGATACAAAAATATGTAAATGTACTGATCTGAATTATAATATTTCTGACTGTCTGAGGCAAAATTTCCCAGATTCAAATCGAATTGAATCAAATCGAATTGAATCAAATCGAATTGAATCAAATCGAATCGAACTGAATTGAATTGTGGATCGAATCGATTCAGGACCTTGTGAATCGGAATCAAATCGATTCTAGAAATCAGTGACGATACCCAGCCCTAGTCCATATGTATAGAACATGGCATCATTTGTAATTAAAAGTGTTGTATTAATTTGAAAATAAATGTATATTATGAATAGTGTCTTTGTTGATCTCAGCTGTTTAATGGCACTTATTAACAAACAACCTTTCCTAATGTAGCTTGCACAGTTTGTTTGAGAAGACACTGTTTTGCCTCTCTAGACCCCAGAGTTGATTATTAAGCAATATGTAATTACATTTATTGAAAGCTGCTTGACATTCCTCCAATTATGTCCTCACACCCTTACTAACTAACTAACTCATATACAGTTAGGTCTGGTTACTTAACGTGTTAGAGGCCTATATAAAGACTATACGGTTTCCAGTTATGCACTACATATGTTTATGCTACATATGTTTATGTCTGTCATGGTTCTGGGTCAGTTGTCTCAGCATTTTGAGTTTATGGTGTGATTTCTTTGTGTTGTCATGTTTTAGTTTTCTATTCTTTAGTTTTGAGGTTATTGGGGATTTGGGACTTTTGTATTTTTAAGATGTGTTAAGTTTCAGTGTCTCAGTCAGCCTCGAGTTTTGTTAGTCATATGATTCTGAAGGTTTTCTTGTTCGCCTTAGTCAGGTTTGGCAAACTCCAGGCCTCGAGGGCCGGTGTCCTGCAGGTTTTAGATCTCACCTTGGGTATACACACCTGAATCAAATGATTAGTTCATTACCAGGCCTCTGGAGAACTTCAAGACATGTTGAGGAGGTAATTTAGCCATTTAAATCAGCTGTGATGGATCAAGGACACATCTAAATCTGCAGGACACCGGCCCTCGAGGCCTGGAGTTGGACACCACTGGTCTAGGTTACGCATTCTTGTGTCAGGTTCCTTTTGTGTCTCCTGTGAGAGTCTGTGTATGTTCTTTAAAGGAGTGTATGATGAACCTGGGTGCAGCAGCCTAGAATTGGACCATGCTGTGCTGGTTGTGGGTTATGGTACTGAGAATGGACATGATTACTGGCTGGTCAAGAACAGGTAAATACCCACAGGTGACGGTCATATTTGAATTCATGCACTTCATTCCTGCTAACATTCACTGAGTGCTGATGCACAGCTGCATATAAAGGCATCTTATTTGTGGTTTCACAGCTTAATACAGATCATTATGTCGCTGCATGCTGTTCAACTATTAGTGTGAACATAACTGAGTTTTACCTGCTAAATGTTGTTATTTTCTGTCTTTCTGTAGCTGGGGTCGTGGATGGGGACAGATGGGATACATTAAGATGAGCAGGAACAAACTCAACCAGTGTGGGATTGCTAGTGTAGCACTCTACCCTCTGGTCTGAAGTAGTGGAAACAAACTCACCTACAATTGTTATTCCATTTGAACAAAATGTACTCATGTTAATTTTAAACATCTGTTTACTTAAACATTTAAGATGAATCTAAATATATGTGAACATTTAAGATTTATTCAATCCAGGTTAGTGTTAGTCTAGGATTTTCCTCAATGTGGTCAAAATGTATAATTGTATGTCTAAAAAGAAAAAAAAGTTGTGTATGGAAATATACTTTCTTCTGGTGTTTTATGGAATAACCTTTTAATGACTACAAATACATGTAAAGAAATGAAATATTTCAGACTGAGATGTAAACATTTACTTTTGTGTGTTTCACTGTGTTTCTAGTGTGTAGCTTAATAAGTAAATCAGTCCACTGTGAGGACAGATTTTATGTTTCCAAGAGAATAAAGATGACTGACTGGGCACATGTCAAAGGTCAGTCATGACAGGATTTCTATTTTTCTTTGTCATTTGGAGAGATGATTATGACAGTGTTCACTATTGG